GGGCACTTGAGGGGGCGGGACTGGCTCCGGGGGCGGGGCCGGGGACGTGGTGGGGGCGGGACTGGCTCCTGGGGGCGGGGGTGGAGGAGAGCACGTGAGAGGGCGGGATTGGTTCCCGGGGGTGGAGCTGGACACTTGAGACCGCGGGACTGGCTCCTGGGGGCGGGGCCAGGCACGTGGGAGGGCGGGGTTGGCTCCTGGGGGTGGGGCCTACAGGTACTTGATGGGCCGGGACTGACTCCTGAAGGCGGCGGGGCAGGGCGGCTGGGGGCACGGACTGGGTGGCCGGGACTGTCACGTCCCACGGGGTCCTAACTGTGTGCCATGTCCCGATACGCTGCCTGTGTCCACCTGGCTCTGTGGGACAGTTTCCTGTGGACTGTCGGCCTGATCCTGGCTGTACCATCCAGGAAAGACTTTAACGGTCTCCAATGTTTCCCTGTCTGCCCATGTGGCTGTATGTGACTATGGTCGCCTGCCTCTCTTAGTCTCTGACTCGTTATGCCTGAGTGTCTAAATGACTATTGCTGTCTGGGTTTTCATGAGTCTGGTGGTGTTTGTCTACCTGATTCTACCCGTTTGGTCCATCTGTCTGGCACCAACTCTCAGCCTGCCTGTCTCTGGCTCTTGCAACTTTTACTCTTCTAGGACTGAATGTATCCCATGGTCCCTATTTGCTTGGCTCTCTCTCTTTTTTAAAAAATTGATATCCATATACTGTAAAAACTCCTCGTTTTTAAAACGTACAGTGAAGTGCTTTTCAGTATATTCAAAAAATTGTGCAACCATTGCCACTCTCTAATTCCAGAACATTCCATTGTCTCACCCCACCTGCCTGGCTCTTCCATAGTACTCTCTCTGGAATTATGTCTAGTGGTCTCTCCCTATGACTGTGTGTCTGAATTTACCTATGTCTGGTGGTCCCTGGCTATCTGTCTGCCCGATTTCTGATTTGGTCCTGTGTGACTAGCCAGCTGGGTCTGCCCTGTCTGGTTTCTTCCCTTCTTCCTTCCTTCCTTTTCTTTCTTTCTTTCTTTCTTTCTTTCTTTCTTTCTTTCTTTCTTTCTTTCTCTTTCTTTCTTTCTTTCTTTCTTTCTTTTCTTTCTCTCTTTCTTTCTTTCTTTCTTTCTTTCTTTTCTTTCTTTCTTTCTTTCTTTCTTTCTGGTCCCCATCTCTCTAACTCTGGTGACATGGGCATATCTGTCTGGGTCTGAATGTATCTGTGCCTGACTGTACCCACAGGACTGTATCTCTGTGCCTGTGTCTGAAGGTTTGTCACCATCACTCTGCATATCTGATTTCAGCTCTGGATCTCATGGTGCCAGGGGCTGGCGGGTGTTCTCGAAGCCCGTGCCCTTCCCTTGTTCCAGCGGGCAGGGCCTGCCTCCCCGACTGTGCACCCCTTCGCGACATCCGTCTGACTGTGCGTGTGACAAATAGCTGTGTGGCTGCCTGGCTTTCTGAGTGAATGGACGGCCAACTGGCTGATGTCGACCTCTGTGGCTGGCTGTGTGCTCGTCTCGTTGCCTGATCCTTTATTGTCCAGCTGTCTGTCTGGACACATGACTGCTTGTCTCTCTGTTCTGACTATCTGGCCTTCCGGCTGCCTGTCTGACACTGGCCGTCCAGGGCTCCCGGTCCCCTCTCCTGCGGCCCCTGCCCCCCTCCCCCCCGGAAAGACCCCGTTGCCCTCACGCACTCTCCTTCCTTCTCTTGGGGCAGGCTGTGCCTTTGTGAAGTTCTCCTCCCACACCGAGGCCCAGGCGGCCATCCACGCGCTGCACGGCAGCCAAACCATGCCGGTGAGTAGGACTGTCCCGGGGCCCTGGGGCGGGCAGGGGGGAGGGGGGAGGGGACAGGGACGGAAACGCTCGCGACCCTCCCGGCCGTCCTCGGCCTCTGGCTGGTCGTCAGCGAGGCACAGGCGGAGGAGGAGCGCGTCTCTGATGGCGCCGTGGGCGGGTGCGCGCACACGAGGGTGACTGCGCACGCGCGGGGCGTACGAGGACGCGAGCGTGCGAGTGAGTGTGGGGCTGCGCGTGGACTAGCGCGTGTGTGCCTGTTCACGTGTGTGCGAGGGAGAGAATACGTGGGTGTGAGTGTGTGTGTGTGTGTGCCTGGCAGTGGGTGATTGTTAACGTGCACGTGAGCTGTGTGCGTGTGAGAAGATGTGCGGATAAGTGTGTGTGCTGGCACACGTGTAAGTGTGTCGAGCGGGTGTTTTTGTGCGAGTCGACGGTGCAGTACGTCCGTGGGTGGGGGCACGTGTGTGTGTTGAGTGCATGCGTGTGTATGTGTGAGTGTGCCTGGGGGGCGCGGGGGCGGGGGCAGGGGCGTATGTGTGCATCTGCAGGAATATGTGAGGGCAAGTGTATGCGTGTGTGTGAGCGTGTAGGTCTGCGTGGGTGGCATTTGTGTGCATGTGTGTGGGTATGCGTGTCAGTATGCGCGCGTGCGTGTGTGTGTGTGTGAGCGTGTGTACGCATGTGGGTGTACAAGAGGGTGTCCTGGAGGGGCGAGATCCCGAGAGGTGGTTTGGCTTTGTCGAGGCCAGCAGGGGGACGTGTGGGGCGTGGGGGATGACGAGACGGATGGGGGGGCAGCGGAGGAGCAGGGGGGCGGCTGGAGGGGCTGCGGTCCAAAGCTGAGGAGCACGGCTTCTTAGGGCGATGAGAGCCACGGAAAGTTTTGACAGGGGAGGGAAGGCCGTTTGGACACGTCCCCTGGGCCAGGGTGGGGATGGGCAGGGGGCAGGACTGGCGCAGGGAGAGGCCGGGGAGGACCAGCCGGGCTCTGGGAGTGGCCCTGCCCTCTAGGAAGCAGGCGCCGGGGGCCACCATCACTGTACGTGAATGCCCAAATCTTCCAGGGGACGACAGGCCTTCCGGAACCAACTCTGCTCTCAGCTGGTCTCAAAATGGGTGTGCGGGGGGGCGCCTGGGGGGCTCAGTCGGTTAAGCATCCGACTCTTGATTTCGGCTCAGGTCGTGACCCCAGCGTTCATGAGTTCGAGCCCCATGTGTGTGCTGTCAGCACAGAGCTGCTTGGGATTCTCTGTCCCCCGCTCTCTGCCCTTCCCCCACTCAGTCTCTCTGTCTCTGTCTCTCTCTCTCTCAAAATAAATAAGTAAACCCCAAAAAGCTAGGTGTGAAGGGCAGGGCGGTGTCAGAGCTTCCGGTCCCTTGCTCTCTGGGTACTTGGGCATCAGTTTTAGTCCCTAGAGTGGCAGGATTCATTCAGGCTTTCTCCTGCAGGGAGCTGACCGGTGAGGAGGTGTCTCAGGGAGTGAGCTCGCCATCAAAGGGGGCAACCTCTCTGATGGTCGGTGTCTCACCTGTTCTCAGGTGTGAGTCAGTTATAGGTCCCCGTCGCTCCTCTCCAGCAGTCGGCCTCTCCGCTTTTGAGAGTGTGGCTGATAGTCCGGGTCCTCTCCTGGGCCCCCGACCCCACCCCCCCCCCCCCCCGGGCCCAGGGGCCCAGGCCCCACCTGTGCGCACAGGCGGCCGCACGGTCAAGCGCGAGACCCGGGACGCCGAGCCCTGAGCGACGTGCGTGTCCGGCGGCGGCGGGCCCGTGGGCGGGATCGAGAGTGCCCTGCGTCTACGCCGCGCCGCCAAGGCCCTGAGCCAGCGTGGTTCCGGGAACCCAGAGTCCTGGCTACCTCCCTCCTTCTTCCCCTCCCTGCCCGCCGCCGCCCCTGCAGGGTGCCTCCTCCAGCCTGGTGGTCAAGTTTGCCGACACGGACAAGGAGCGGACGCTCCGGCGCATGCAGCAGATGGTGGGCCAGCTGGGCATCCTGACGCCGTCCCTCACCCTGCCTTTCAGCCCCTACAGTGCCTACGCCCAGGCCGTGAGTGCCCCCGGCAGACGCACTCTGTCTCCCAAGGCCACTCTGGGGGCTCAGCTCAGTCTCTCCCTCTCTGCGTTCTGTCGAGGGCCACTGCCTCTCTGCTCCTCTTCCTGTCTCTTGCCCAATCTGTCTGACTCGGGGTCCTATCCCGGCCACGGCCGAGTCCCCGGATCCAGGCTGACTCCTGAGCCCCGGCCCCAGCCGAGCCCTCCAGCCACGAACCGAGCCCCAGGCCCGAGCTGAACCCCAACTCTGGACTGACACAAGCCCATGCTTAGCTCCAAGAGGAGCCTCTAAATCCAGGCTGACTCCCAACTGAGACCCGACCCTGGCTGACTTCAGTGTTGGCTGATCCCCGATCCCGGACCAAGCCCAAATTCCTGACTCAGCCCTGACCTGAAGACTGAACCCTGATCCTAGACTGACCCTCGATCCCAGGCTGAGCCCCACAATTCCTAACTGAGGCCTGAGCCACGATAGCCAGGCTGACCGCTCCCCCACCCCCGCCAGTTACCAGAGGGCCAGGCCTCCCCCAGGGCGTCATGACCTCAGGGCAGGTGCCACCCCGACTGTGCACGCTGACTCCCTCTCCACCCCCAGCTCATGCAGCAGCAGACAACGGTCCTGTCCACGTCGGGCAGCTACCTGAGCCCTGGCGTGGCCTTCTCACCCTGCCACATCCAGCAGATCGGCGCCGTCAGCCTTAACGGGCTGCCTGCCACACCCATCGCCCCTGCCTCTGGTGAGAGTCCGCCAGGGGCCTGCGGATGGTGGGCAGGGCGGGGCGGGGCCGGGGCCGGGGCCAGGGCCAGGCTCAGGCTCCCCATCGCGCTCCTCTGCCCCACAGGACTGCACTCGCCCCCGCTGCTTGGTTCCACTGCCGTGCCCGGGCTCGTGGCTCCCATCACCAATGGCTTCGCAGGTGTCGTGCCCTTCCCTGGGGGGCACCCTGCCCTAGAGACCGTGTATGCCAATGGCCTCGTGCCCTACCCAGGTAACGTGAGTGGTTCCCCCAGGGGCCGAGGAGAGGGGGTGGGGCCGGGAAGGCATCTCCGGGACAAGCGCGAGTTCCTGTGCCCCCTGGTGCCTGGGAAACAGAGGCGGTCTCAGCTGGACGGATGTGAGCGGTGGGCACAGAGAAGGGGGCTGTAGCCGGGTGCGTAAACATGGGGACGTTATGCCCAGGCATTTATGGGTGCAGATTCCAGTTTGGCGGCCCTAAACGGTTTCTGTGAGTCTCTGGGCCTCAGTTTGCTCACCCGGGAGATGGGGCAGATAACATCAGACATCTCATGAGGTTGCACGGACAGTGGAATCAGTATATCAAATGCTGAACGTGTCACCTGTACTGACAACAGCAGCACCACCAATCTTAGTTATTCATCATTGCTGTGTAGGAAGACGTCAGTAGCCTCATTCATTCATTCATTCATTCATTCGTTCAGTACTAACCATGCCCTGAGCTAGGCTCGGCCCTGCCTTGAAGCAGGGGCCCCATCTTTTCCTTTCTTAGACCACAATCCCCAGGCAAGCATCTGCCAGTATCTGGCAGTCTCTGTGTTTCCACCATTGAGGAGAACTTATTTTTACTTTGAAATGATTGGAGCTCACAGGGAGTTTCAAAAATAGTACAGAGAGGTCCCCGAACCTCCAACCCAGTCCCCCACCCCCCCCCACCCCCGCCCACCATGCTAACATCTTACATAACCGCCGCACATTGTTGAAACCAGGAAACTGACGTTGGTGGGGTACGATGAACTCAACAGGAGTTGGAGATCTTACTCAGAGGGTGCCACTTTGTACGTGCACTGGCTTGTTGTATGTGTGTTGGGGGGGGGCATTCTGTGCCATTTTATCACAGGTATAGATTTGGGTAACCACCACCACAATCAAGATACAAAACTTCTCCATCAATACAGAGGGATTGGTGCGTGTGACCCCTTTAGGGGCACACCCCACCACCACCCCGTCCTCTAGCAGCCTCTCTCCATTCGAGCAGAATCTTTTAGCTGAATTTCCCCCCGGAGGCACCAGCTCTAGTGGTCTGGACAACTTCTCCCCTCCCCTTACCTCCACCATCGCCCCCCCACCCCCGCCCTGGGGCAGTTGGGTGGTGGGTGGTCACAGCCACATGAGGGATCCAAAGGGTGTCTGATGAGTGACATGTGGGGGTGCGAGAGAGGGAAAGGGAAAGGGGTGGGGGGTGATGGGGAGCAGAGGCCTGAAGTCCTGGAGAATCCAGAGAATAAAAGGGAAGAGGGAAAGGGTCCAGATGGGGACAGAGAGATGGGGGTGATGGTTAACCTCTCTGGAGTCCTGTTCGACTTCGCCATTATCTATCTGAGTGGCCCCGTGCCAGTTGCTTCACCTCTCTGAACCTCAGTTTTCCCACCTGTAAAATGGGGGCCACACCTGTAAAAGGTTAATGCGGAGGTGAAGCTGGGGCGGATGTTGCTCTCCTTTTGGCTCCGAAGTTTCGGGGGTAATTGGAAGACTTCTGCTGCCCCCGTCCCACTCAGTCCCTCCGTTTGCCCCGCAGCTCAGAGCCCGACCGTGGCCGAGACCCTCCATCCTGCCTTCTCCGGAGTCCAGCAGTACACAGGTACGGAGGGCAGTCCAGCCCGGTCCGGGCGTGGCCCCGCCCCTGGGCCCCGGCTTTCCCGCCTGGCCTAGCCACGCCCCTAGCCACACCCCGCCTCTGGCCCCTCCCCTCGGCGGTCGCCCTCTCATTCGGCCTTCCCGCCTGCACCTAGCCACGCCTCCTACTTCTGGCCCCGGCCCAATCCCAGGTCTTGGCCCCGCCCCCTGCAGCTTCTGGTCCCGCCTCTTGGGTCCTGCCAGGGCCCCGCCCTCGGCCGTGGCCCCGCTGGTCAAGCTCTGGCCCCACCCACTCGGATCTTCGGTGGCCTTGGCCCCTCCTTCAGGCCCGGCCTCGGCTGTGGCCACGCCCCCTCCCGCTAGGAGGCCTTGCCCCCACGCCGTCGAATCATGGCTCCGCCCCATTCTTCCCCGTGCCCTGGCCCCTCCCTGGGCCCGCCCCCCCGTCGTGGGCACGCCCCTCTCCGCTCCCAAGGCAACTGTGGCCCCACCCCGTCGTGGCCCCGCCCCCGCCCGCCTCGAGCCGCCCCGCCCACCGGCCTTACACCTGCCTCCGCCCTGTGTCTCGCTCCCGGTCTCCGCAGCCATGTACCCCACCGCGGCCATCACGCCCATCGCGCACAGCGTCCCCCAGCCGCCGCCCCTCCTGCAGCAGCAGCAGCGAGAAGGTGAGGGGGCCGCGACCTCCCCCGGGCGCCAGCCCAGCCCTCTGACCGCCCCCTCCACCTCCAGGACCCCGAGACCTCAGGGCACCGCGGCTTTCTAAGAGTGCGGCCCGCGGGCCAGACAGACCCGGGTTCCTCTTCTGGAATGTGGGAACCGTGCTAGCTTCGACCCCCTAGGACTAGCGGTGACCCTCCTCCCACCCCACCCCCACCAGCCTTCCTCTGCAAGACGGGATGGATGGTTCCCTGAATTTCTGGAAAGGACACTCGTTTCGAGGTGGTGGGGGGCGGTGGTGATGACGTCTCTGGGGTGAGCTGAGGCCTCCCCAGCAAAGTGGAAGGAGGGAGGAGGTGGATTCTGGAGTCAGACAACCGGGGTTAAGACGCACCCAGTTCTGACTGTGACATCATAAGGAAAGCGCCTCGCTGCCCTCTGCCTCAGTTTCCTCACTTGCAGCGGGAGCAGCCATCCGCGTCAAGAGGCGCTACTGGGAAGTAGACGGGGCCCGTCCTGACACAGAGTGTGTGGCTCAGCACCCCCAAGGCCCTTTCTCTTGTCATGCAGCTAGTGAGGGTGGGGGAGAGGTGACCAGCTAGAAAAGCCCCCAGACACTCCCATGGCCAGGGGAGTCCCGCAGACTGAGTTCTTTGAGGCCCTGCCCCATTTCTCCCTTGCCCTTGGCCTGTGAAAGGCGGGGAGGCATTGCCAGGGTCCAGGCGCTGAGCTTTGGAGGTGAGGCCTAGGCTGAGGGGTCCCCAGCTCTGCCCAGCAGCTGCTACCCGTTCCCAGATTTTCTACCTCCAGGGGGCTCTGTGGTCAAAGTCACAGACAGCAGACAGGAGGATCTGGCAGTGCCTGCACCTCCGCTATGACTTTCAATAACCTCCCCCCCCCAACACTCCCCCCTCCCCCCACCCAGGGAGGGCCGGTGGGAGCTTCAGAGAGGGCCCAGGTGTCTCAGGTCTGATGGCTCGGACCTGGGTGTCTCCCTTCTCCAACTTCCCTCAACCCTGGGCCGAGGAGGTAAACGTTAGTTCAGATGCAGTCAAGCCGCGGGTTCTGGAGAGTCTGCCCAGCATGCAGACCCTCGCAACACAATCTACAAGGTTCCTGCTTGAATGGGGCCAGGATGCACCATTGACAAGCTGTGTCCGTGACACAACAAAACAAAAGACAGAACCCTAAGAGAAATGATAGCACAGCGGTATGCGTGTTAGCGGGCTTAAAAAAAAATACAATAGAGGTGGCACTTTCTCTTGGAAAAGACCTCACGTTCGTTCACGCGTGGACGTGGACACAGGAAGGGCTGCAGCTGTGAGGTGCTGTTAAGTGACAGAAAGAGGCTTGTCTGAAGTCAGAAGGGGAGTCGGATCCCCAGAGGGGGATGCGTGTGGCTCGCAACACGCTTGGGGGCCCGAGAAAGTGGTAGGTGTTGGAGCCACCTGTGTGTGTGTGGGGCGGGGGGGCGCGCGCACTGTTTTCCCACGAGGTCCCACTCAGCTGGGTGCGGCTTCTGCATTCACCTCCCGCGTCGTGGACATGAGATAGCACACAAGCAAACGTGAAATTTGTGTTACGGTCAAAACCGTGCCACCCGCGTCAGTCGCGATGATCACGTTGGAACACGCTTGTATTTTGAAAACAAGCATGATTAGAACTCGGGTCCTAATCAGGAAGGAAGGGTTGGATGTGAATGTGTCATCTGGGATTTAACATTGGCCAGGGCGGGGAGTGCTCATTTCCGGGGTGAAGGGCATCTGTTGGTTTGGGATTAGGGGCAGGTTTGGAGAATGTTCGTGACTCCAGACAATGAAGGTTTTTTAATTGGATTATTATTTACAGATTCTACATGAGTCATGCGTTGGGGATTATTTGGAGAGGGGATGGTTTGGAGAGGTGGCTGTGCCGTTAAAAAATTCTTTCCGGGTGGTGTCGTGTATCATTTTTAAATTACCTGGCGGTCTCGGGATATGTGGGTCTGGGGACTAGAGAATTTTCTTTTTTTTCTTTTACCTGATTTTACTTTTGTGTCGTCTGAGTTTCGAAGATGATTCAAGGTTTGGAGGATTAGCCAAAGTTTTGAAAAACATCTAGATATTTGGGGCTTGGGACCAGGAATTGGTTGTCGTACTGTATTCTGTGATCATCGGACTTGTAGGGGGAAAATAAATGAACATTTTATTTTAAAACCAGTTTTAGATTTACAGAATTAGTGCAAAGCTAGTACAGGGTGTCCGTATACCCCCCCCCCCAATTCATCTCATGTTGTAAACGGTCTGGAGTTTCAGGGGGCTTTCAGGGGGTTCAGGTTGTCTGGGATTTGGGGATTATCCAGGGTCTGGCACTGAGGGATTTGTCTCAGGTTTGGGGGGAGGGACCGGCTCAATTTTGTAAATTATCCGGGGCCTGAGGGCCACCGGAGGTTCGCAGGCCCCAAGCGTGGGATGAGACAGGCAAACGTAGGCACACGCCGCGCCCCTCCCCGCCATCGCCACGCCCTCCCTCCTGACGTCACGGCGCCGTCCGCCAACAGCTGGAGATGCCGGATGTGGGCTCCGGTCCCGCGCCCCTCCCCCGGGGGGGTCCGCCTCCTCTCCTTGGGGGCTTTATGTCTTTCTCTCCCCCACCTGCAGGTCCCGAAGGCTGTAACCTGTTTATCTACCACCTCCCCCAGGAGTTTGGAGACACGGAGCTGACGCAGATGTTCCTGCCCTTCGGCAATATCATCTCCTCCAAGGTGTTTATGGATCGGGCCACCAACCAGAGCAAATGTTTTGGTGAGTCCCTGTTGCAGGCACCACCCCCCCCCGCCCCCGCCCGCCCCGTCCCCCACTCCGCTTGCCAAGGAACAGGGGCCAGGGAGGGCGTAGTCAGGCAGGAGACAAGTGTGGTCCAAAGGGATCACATTTGTGAATTAGAGTGAGCACTTATGAAGCACCTACGGTGTGCCAGGCCCCGTGCTGGGTGCGGATACACGGCAGTGAGGGAAACCAACAAAGCTCCTGCCCTCGAAAGCTCGCAGTCCTGCCGCGCCGTCCAACAGAATATTCTCCACCGGCGGGAATGTTGCGCGTCTCTGCCACCCGAGCCTCAGCCACACATGGCTACCAGCCACCTTAAGTGTGGCAGTTCAACCAAAGAACGGAATGTTTAATTAAATCTAAATTTAAATAACCGCCTGTGGTCAGCAATGAGGGCGTTGAAAAGCACAGGTTTCTGGGTAGGAGCTGGAAATAAAGCGGGACATAGGCCAGGGGGCTATAGATGGAATGCAGAACGCCATCAGTAAGGAAATAGAAACTGATCTGCAGGGGGTGATGTTTCAACTGAGACCCAAATGAGGAGATTTTCCAGCCAAGGGATATGTGGGGTAGAGAGTTCCAGGGAACAGCACATGCAAAGGCCCTGGGGCAGGACCTGTCTGGCATGTTGGAGCAACAGCGAGGGGGAGACCCATGTGGCTGGAGCATAGTGAGCAAGGGGAAGAGAGGGAGGAGGGGAGGGCAGGGAGGGGACGTCGTGCAAGGCCTTGGGAGGACTTCCTTGTCCCCGGACACAGGAAATTAAGGCTCAGAGAGGCACTGCAACTTGGCCAAGTTCACACAGCAGCAAAGAGACAGAACCTAAATTAGAACCAGTCTGTTTGACCCCAAACTCGGGACTCTTAATCCCACCCTGTGTTATTCAAAAGGCTAACTGTTGCCTATTAAGCACTTCCTGTATATACTCCGTGTCCAACCGTAAAATAGAAGACTTGCCCCCAGAGGTGCCTGGCTGGCTCAGAGGAGCTGCAGCCTGTGACTCTTGATCTCGGGGTTGTGAGTTCAAGCCCCACGTCGGGTGGAGAGATTATGTAAAAATAAAAAATCTCCAAAAAAGAAAAAAGAAGCTTTGCCCCAATATCCTTGGAGGAAAGAGAGGCACAGAGTGGCCCAGCAGCCGCACCAGGAAGGACCCTCCGCCAGTGCCTAGGTCCCTCCTCTGCATCCTGCTTCCAGGAGGAAGACGGAAATGGGGGGGGGGGCACTCAGTCCCTTTCCACAGTGAGGGGTCCTATGCCTTCTCTGAGCCTTAGTTTCCTCATCCATATGATGGGGGACAGCTGTTAGGGGAGATGATAGATAAGATGTCACCCCTCCCCAATTCCTCATTCCCCCATGGCTCCCCATGGGCCTCAGCAAGACTGCTCAGCCCTGCCCCCAGCTCCGCCTGACCTCCCACCCGGCCTCCTACACGGAGCTCAGGGACCCCCACCTCCAAATGCTTGTGCATGCAGACTCGCCCCAGAGGGCCCCCCAGCCCCCACACCATCGAGGACCAAGAGGTGAGGGGCCAGGAGTAGGGCAGGGTGGTCTGGGGGGTGGAAGTTTGAGGAACCCCAGGCTGGAATGTTTCTCATGGCCTCAGGGGAGACAGGGGTAGAGAGACTGCCAGAGACAAAGACAGAGATAGAGAAAGAGGGATAAAAGGCAGAGGGAGCGAGAGAGTCCCATGCAGTCAGGACCCCAGAGGGACAGTGGTCTTGGAGGGGCCACACGGTTAGCATCCGGGGTCTAGATGGAGGCAACCATTCAGGACAGGGAGGGAGGGAGGATGCGGCCTCACCTGTGCCCCACCGCTGGTCGCTGGTCGGGAAGGCTCAGCACAGCAGACCCCAGGTAAGGAGCAAGCGTCCCATCCCCAGAAGCAAGTGCAGAGGGGGACAGGACCAGGCCCGGGCTGCTGTGTGTGTCTGGCCAGCCCTTCCCCACCCCCACCCCCACCCCACCCCCGCCCCTCCCCGCCGCCCCATCTGCCCCTGCCAGCGCACCCCCCGCCCCGCCCCCAGGACCCCAGGGAAGCCTGGGCTGCCGCCCTGGAGCCAGCAGAGGACGCCCACGTGGCCCACCATCGCGGCTCCGCCCCGGTCTCCACAGGCTTCGTGAGCTTTGACAACCCGGCCAGCGCGCAGACCGCCATCCAGGCCATGAACGGCTTTCAGATCGGCATGAAGAGACTCAAAGTGCAGCTGAAGCGGCCCAAAGACCCGGGACACCCCTACTGACCGCGCCCACAGCCGCCCGGAGGCTGCGGGCCTGGCCCAGGTGAGCCGCCAGGCGGCCCCACCCGCCCCCACCCCTGCCCCCCCCCCCTTCCCCGTCTTGGCCAAACACCCCCTCGTTCTCCATGCCCTCCCCACCCCCCAGGGGGGATGCCGCTGGAGACCACAAGGAGCCCCCAGGTTGGGATGGTGGGGACAGAGCTAGAGAGTCACCCTCCAATCCCCCCTTTGATCAGGGCTGGGACAGAGGGTGGAACCGGGGTAGAAGGGGGTTGGGGAATCCTTCCAGAAGGTTTTGAAGGATGAATAGAAGTTCACTTGAGAGGCCAGGCTTGGTCTGGGGTGGGGCATGCTGCGAGGGAGGGGCTTCTGTCCTGTCCTGTGACTCTCCCAGCTGGGCCCCTGTCCAAGTTCCTCATTTGGTGTCACCCGCGTTCAGTGAACTGGCGAAAAAGTGGAATGTCTGCCCCGCTCACCAGCATGCCCCCCCCCCAAAGAGACCCCCCCCCCAACAAATCCCCAAGAGCGTATTTTGCCACCAGAGAGAACAACTTTATCAACAACTAAGCACCTTCTTTGGGGGAATGAACAGTGAGCCTAAGGGGCCAGTAGGGAAACATAACTGACCACAGCCTTGATGAGCCTCATCTGTGAAATGGGTTCACGAAAGTCGCCTCCCCAGAAGCAGCAGGGAGGATCCGCTCGGGGACGCGGTGTTTTCCCAGCTGAGCCCAGGACCCGCCACCTGGAAAGCTCTTGATCATTTGTTTTCATTTTGTTTTTGTTTTGTTTTTAATCATGAGCGCCGTCGTCATCAAAGCGCCGCGCCTGGGGTCTGGCGCGAAGTAGATGCTCAGTTAGGGGCTGCGCATGCTTTTCAGACCCTGCCAAATCAGCACCCGCAGAGTCGAAGGTCACGGGATCAGGCAACTAACAGGCGACCCATGCACTTTAACACCCTGGGACAGCAAATCCTTTCTGAGCACCTACTATGCGCTAGGCACTGTTTGGGGACAGCGCTCGGGGACACAGCTGTGAATGACCAGAAACGGGGCGGGGGTTGGGGGAGAGCTGCCTTCGTGGCAGGGAGCAGGGGAGACAAGATGAGACAAGAATAAACACAACTGTTTGCCCCCGGGGGTTGCCAGATGAGGAAACAGCCTCGGTGGCCAGTCCTTTTCCAAGGCGGACCGCTGGCCTCTGAACCTGGAAATGGACTCTCTCTGAGCAGACAGGGGCCCTTGGGTTCCTGGAACCCAGCCTGGCCAGGGCAAGGGGGTGGGCGGGGGGCGAGGTCGTCGGCCTGCATGCCCCCCATCACCGCACCCTAACGCCCCTCCCTTCTCCGCCAGGTGAGGGGCCTTCCCACCCCAGGAGGGCCTCCCGCTTCCAACCGACCCCGGACTTTTCCGTAAATTACAACCAAGTTTGGACACCAGCCCCACCCCCTCCCGTCTCCCCTTGCCCTCCGCCCGCCCCCTAATGTGAAACACTATTGCGGGCCACACGGAGTGGGAAGGGGGCTTCGTGACCCGCCCCAGCTGGGGAGGGGGGCTCCTGAGTTGGGGGCCGAGGGCTTCACTGCCCCCACCCTTGGTGGCTTCCCCTAATTAAATCACAACTTTTCCTATATATATATATATGCATATATATATAGAGCTATAGACAGTATATATATTTTTTGAGTATAGATCATGGGACCAAACTTTTCCGACTTCCTTCCATCCAAGAGAAGGTGACCCTGGCCCGGTCACTCAGCAGGGACATAAGAAGGGCTGAGGATGACCGGGCAGCCCAGTGTGTCCCCACCTCCCGCTGTCATGTCAGACCAGGGCACGGAGAAGCACTGGGAATCATCAGCCAACGCGATATACCTCCAGGACATTGGGCCCCTGCCACCGACGTTCTCGCAGGCCCTTGGGCTCGGCCAGCTCGAGTGTCCCTGGTCTTAGCTGCAGCTTCTGGAACCCCTACCCCCTCCCTCACCCCAGGGCCCTGCCTTCCCCGACGTAGGCAAAGAAGAGACCCCCCCCCTGGCCTCCCACCCCCACCCCCGTCATAGCCTTACTCATGTGACCAATAGCCCTTAGCTTTCCGTCAGGGGCAGACAGGGTCGGGGGAGCCCCCCTGCCCCTCGCGCCCCCTCCCAAGGGCAGGCAGCCGCCCTCCCTGCCTTCGGATCACCAGCCTGGAGTTCACGATCTCATGACCAAGATCGCCACGCGCGTTGGACAAACCCAACCCGCTCTGGCCCAGCACCCCTTTACCAGAGATACCTCTACAAATAATTTTTTTTTTTTGAATTTTGGTCTTTCTGAGAAGATACAAAGAAGAAAAGAGAAAAAAAAATGGGGAAAAAAAATCAGACAACAGCGGATTTTTGTTTCCTAGTTGGGGCGGGGAGGGAGGTCTTGTGGGGCGCCTCTGTATAGCTACTCAAACCGCGAAAACCCATCTTGAAGCACAGAGTCAAGTTCGTTGGACGTCCAGTGGGGCCTCTTGCCAAATGAGGCACCAGAGAACTTCATAAGCTCAAGAAAAAAAAAAATTTGTAAAGAAAAAACAGCCTTCCCTTTTGTTTCTACCAAAATGTGTTGACTGACCCAGAAAAAAAAAAAACAAAAAAAAAACAAAAACCCCATAGCAAAAAAAAAAAAAAAAAAAAAGGGAAAAGAAAAAAAAAAATCTTATGACCAACTTGTTTCGATATTCCAGAGTTTGATAATTGTTCCGAGACACTCTAGCGTGCCTGTGTCCTGTGCGTCTGCGTGTGCAAGCGTGTGCTCAGGGGCCACGAGGGGGCCTCGTCCGCGTCCCCGGCACCTGCCCAGCCCCGGCCAGGCCTGCTTGGGAGAGCGTGCTGGCGTGCAGTGGCGTTGTGTCCTTCTGGTCCATGTTTACTGGCTGTAAATACCATTTTTATACTCCACATCGAAGACCTACGTGATTTGTACGATGTACTTTATTTCTGCTACGAGTAATTTCATGAAGTTTCAACTTGCAAACCGACTTTTGGAGACAAATCGCCACACACACACACACACACACACACACACACACACAGAAAAGGAAGACAAGAAAGGAACTTACAGGGAACTTTGGGTGGACTGGGTTTGCATTTCTGGCTGGAGAGGTCCTTGGCACTGTGGTGTGTTTCAGGTGAGAAGCTGCAACCATCATCTTAATGTCCAAACGCCTCTCTTTGGTCTGGAGAAACTGAAAGTTTATTTAATAAAAGTTTTACTTGCTAAAGGACCGGTCCTCCCTGATTTTCCCTCTCTCGTCCGCAAAAGCCCGCGTGCGTCCGGCCCCAGAGAGTTTCCCCGGGGCCAGAGAAAAACCCAGGTTTCAAGTGAGGGGATGCGGGAGGAGATACTCCGAGAAGGGAGGTCTGAAGAATCCATCTGATTCTTCCAGAAGTTGAGGAAATGGAACCTTTCCTCCTCCAGGAGATCAGGTGCCTGTGTTCGTGGGTTCCCGCGTTCATTCATTCTGCAAACACTGAGCACCTACTGTGTGCCCGTCCGTGTCCTGGCCACCAGGGCTGCCGCAGTAGCAGACCGGAGACCCGGTGGCTCTGGTTTCTGCCCTCATTGGAGGTGGCCCATCGGAGGAGAGAGACGCTACACAATATGCATTTTCTTTACACGGAAGTAAAATCGGGGCACCTGGGTGGCTCAGTCGGTTGAGCGCCCGACTCTTGGTTTCAACCCAGGTCGTGATCTCATCAAGCCCCGCGTCAGGCTCTGCACTGGCAGCATCGAGACTGCTTGGAATTCTCTCTCTCTCTCTCTGCCCCTTCCCTTCTCACTCTCGTTCAAAATAACTAAATAAGCTTAAAAAATAAAATAAATTGAAGTAGAATGTATGGAACATAAAATCCACCATTTTTCCTACTTTAAAGTAAGTTTACAACCCGGCATTAAGTACATTCACAAGGTTGTGCGGCCATGACCTCTAATACCAAGGCATTCTGACCTGCGGAAGCAACCCCATTAACAGTCACCGCCCCCCGCAAGCCCCTGGTTCCCACGAGCCCCCTTCCCGTCCGTGGATGAGCCTGTTGTGGACATTTCACAAATGTGGACTCACACCCCGTGTGGCCTCTCGTGGCCGGTTCTCTCCCTGAGCGTCGTGTGTTCAGAGATCCTTACCCCGGGCAGCGGGTGTGGACGCCTCGCTCCTGCTCGCGGCCGAAGGGCGTGCGCGTGCGCAGTGGACACAGCTGAGTGGCGCGCGCGTGCGCAGTGGACACGCTCATCTGTGGACGCGCGCGTGCGCGGTGGACGCGCGTAGCCATTCGTCTGCCGGAGGCTTGGGGTGTCGCCACCTCTTGGCCATCGTGAATCGTGCCGCTATGAATACTCGCGCGTGTGCGAGGAAGCTCCTGCTTGAGTCCCCTTGGGTACAGCGCGGGGACCTGCTGGGTCGCTCGCTGGGTGTCGAGGTCTCTGAGGCGCCACCAGGCCAGTCTCCGAGGCGGCCCCGCCAGCCTGGCCCGGGGCTCCGCCTTCTCTGCACCGTCGCCCGCGCCAGTTGCGCGGTAGAGACAAATCCCGCAATTGGACCGAAGCAGCTGAGGACCCAGTGGTGTTCCGGAGGTGAGGCCTGAAGGAGGGGCCTGCCGCGCTCCTGGGGAGGCCTCGCTGGGGGACGCCAGGCTCCGGGACAGGGTCTGGCTGGGCGGGGGCGTGAATAGTGGAGACGGCCACCCCCCAGCTGATGCCCCCACCAATGAGGCACTTAAGACCCTACCAGGCACCTGGAAGTAGCCTTGTCTTTCAACCTTATCGATAACGCATCCCATTTTGGAGTTGAGGAAATTCAGAAACAGGGAGCACTGCAGAAAGAACGAGGCCCAGTCGGGGTGGGAGCTGGAAAGAGGAGTCTGAGTCCGCCTGGAAGGGTTTTCTGGGTGGAAGGAACAGCCTAGGCAAAGGCTCAGAGGCCGAGATGTTGTGGCGGTTGGACGGCGGGCTAAGACTTGACTGCGGCACTGGGTGGAGAGGCGGATGCAGAGGCGATAGAGACTCAGTTCCAGACAGCCTCTGGTGAGTAAGCATCTACCCAGTGCCAGGCCTTGTCCCCATCCTCCCAAGCCCCCGGTCGAGGAGAAAGGTGGGCAAAAACCAGAAGTGCCCACCCCTGCAAGAAAAAGTACTTGCAGCGTGTGCCAAAAGTCGTAACCATGGTGAGGTTAGCAAAGCTGGGCCATCATCTTGAGGGCGGTGAGGAGCCACAAAAGGGCTTGGAGCAGGGGAGAGGCTCTTGATCAGAGTCAGGTATGAGAAGGACGCCTGGGTGACCTCCATGCTGCTATGGGATGGAAATCGGCACCCTGGCAGATAACTTGGCAGGATAACATTCCTACCCAGCATTTATTAAGCGCTTACTATTTGCCAAGCATTGTGTCAAGCCTGAGCCATACGCTACAGTAGCCGCTAGCCACATGTGGGTATTTAAATTTATTTAAGATTTATTTATCTTTGAGAGAGAGAGAGAGAGCACAAACGGGGGAGGGGCAGAGAGTGATGGGGACAGAAGATCCGAAGCGGGCTCTGTGCTGACCGCAGCGAGCCCAACACGGGGCTCGAACTCTGGAACCCTAAGATCATGACCTGAGCTGAAGTCGGACACTCAACTGACCAAGCCACCCAGGTACCCCTTGGCTATTTAAATTTAAATCAAGGGGCACCTGGATGGCGCAGTTGGTTAAGCATCGGACTCTTGATCTCATCTCTGGTCATGATCTCAGTGTTCATGAGTTCAAGGCCCGCATTGGGTTCTGTACCCACAGCGTGGAGCCTCCCTGGGATTCTGTCTCTCCCTCTCTCTCTGCCCCTTCCCCGCTTGCATGAGCGCTCTCTCTCTCTCTCTCTCTCTCTTTCAAAATAAATAAATAAATTTTAAAAAATTAAATTGGTTTACCGAATCATAGATTCACTTCTTTAGCCAAGTTAAGCCACATTTCAAGGTCTCAATCGCTCCATGTCTTTCCGGACAGCACTGGGCTGTGTTTTATGTGACTGAACTCACTTCACGTGCCACCACCTTGGGAGGTATGTCCCGATGATAGCCTCATTCTATGAGCTACTAAACTGAGGCCCAGAGAGATTAAGCACCTGCCTGAGGCAGCACAGCAGGAATCGAATCCTGGCTCTCTGGCTGGTCTCTTAACCACTGGGCTATCTCACTTCCGTGTGTAGTGGCTAAAATTCAAATGCATGAGATTGTAATACAAGTCATTATAACACTCCAATTTAAGCTTTGAAGTGTAACTCAGAGTTGTTGAACGTTTTGGAACCTGCAGCCATACAATACGGCCGTTCCGGCTGGGTGTCTCCATGGAGCGAACAGGGGGATGCTTGGGGCGGCCCAGCCCTGCTGTGATGTCACTGTTCATCCAGGGGCATAGGCAAAGTGACACCCAGGGTGTATCGGTTCGCTGTCACTCAAAACAAATCTCTCGCCACCCCCAATTTAGCAATACACATTTATTACATGTGTAATACACATTATTACACATGATCACAGTTTCTGTGGGTCAGGAGCCCAGGAGTAACTTCGCTGGGTGGCTCAGGGTCTCCCACGAGGTTGTGGTCAACACAGACGTGCCGGGGCTGCCTTATCTGAAAGCTGGACCGGGGCCGGAAGAGCCGTTCTTGCTGATGCCCTCTCGGGGCTGCTTGTGGGAGGCCTCAGCTCCTCACCACGTGGGCCTCTCCGTGGGGCTGCTCGTGACCTGGCAGCTGGCTTCCCTGTGACCCAGAGGAAGAGTGGGGGAGGGGCAGAGAGAGAGGGAGGCACAGAATCCGAAGGAGGCTCCAGGCTCTGAGCTGTCAGCACAGAGCCCGATGTGGGGCTCAAACTCAGAAACTGTGAGATCGTGACCTGAGCTGAAGCAGGACACTCAACCGACTGAGCCTCCCAGGTGCCCCTCATGTTAAATACATTTTGTAAAGAATGGAAGGGGCAGGTATGGGAGGCATTTTGGGGAAAGTACCTATGTTTCACATACGTGCTCCACCGCCCTACAGGGACGCCCACATGGCCAAGGCTAGCCACCCATGAGGAACTGAGTCCTGCCAATGACCACACACGGTTGGATGTGGGCCTTCCCACTGTGGAGCCTTCAGATGAGACCGAGCCCCGGCCACCCCATTGACTGCAGCCCATGAGAGGCCTGAACCAGAATTCTGCTGAGCACCCCCAGATTCCTGGCCCACAGAAACTTGGATCATGAGTGGCTTAAGCCACTAAGGTTGAGAGAAGGCACTATGCAGCTATGATAGCTAACACATCAACAAAACCTCATCAAGCACAGCAAAAGCTTCAAAATGCCCAGGATGAGCCTCAGAAGAATCTGGAGAGAAAATAACATTTTATTGAAAGACATAAACGAGGGGCACCTGGGTGACTCAGGTAGTTAAGCGTCCGACTTCGACTCAGGTCATGATCTCGCAGTTCACGGGTTCGAGCCCCGCGTCGGGCTCTGTGCTGACGGCTCAGAGCCTGGAGCCCGCTTCGGATCCTGTGTCTCCCTCTCTCTCTGGCCCTCCCCTGCTTGCGCTCTGTCTCTCTTTCTCCAAAATGGAAACATTAAAAATTTTTTTAAAAATAAAAATGTACGGGCGCCTGGGTGGCGCAGTCGGTTAAGCGTCCGACTTCAGCCAGGTCACGATCTCGTGGTCCGGGAGTTCGAGCCCTGCGTCAGGCTCTGGGCTGATGGCTCGGAGCCTGGAGCCTGTTTCCGATTCTGTGTCTCCCTCTCTCTCTGCCCCTTCCCCGTTCATGCTCTGTCTCTCTCTGTCCCAAAAATAAATAATAAATGTTCAAAAAATAAATAAATAAAAATAAAAATGTAAAAACTACACGTCCTAAAAGCAGAGTGGTTAAGGCTGGAGGCCTTCTGCCCAGGGTTTGGATCCCAACTATGACACTTGTCAGACCAGTGGCCAATCCCTCAGCTCAGATCTCTGTGTCCCCCCTCTGCAAAATGAGGCTAATCGGACACCACCTTTTGAGGGTTGTTGTGGGAACGAATGAGTTGATGTTAAGGAAGCCTGGAGCAAGCGCTATGAGGTGTCAAATCAATCCCTTTGAAGTTTCCTTTCCGAAGGCTTCTTCCCAGGACACCAGCAGGGGGCAGCAGAGACCCACACCTTCGTGCAGGATTGGCGTCACCACTATGAAATGCCACCAAGCATTTATTGAGCACCCACTGTGTGCCACGCAGTGCTCCGCGGGCCGCAG